CGAGGGGTAGCTTAGGCTCCAAGGAAGTTTTGCAAAGGACTTGTCTAAAACGAGACAGGGGGACACCGTTTTTTAGTCGTCTTTTCGAAAAATTTCCTACGCCGAACTCTCTCGTGTACTCTGACAAATCAATTGTAAAAACCTAAGGACCGAAAGTATGCCTCGAGGCCAAAAGGTCGGCCGAGCCACGAGACTGCCTACGCCTCTGGGCTACGGCAACTCCCTCACCACCTTTTGACAGAGGGCAGCTTGGGCTCCGAGGAAGTTTTTTGCAAGTGATATGTTCAGAAATGGAGCAGAGAACAAGGGCTAGGAAACATAATAGAAAACGATTAAGATGCATACATACACAAGTACTGAAAAGGCCTCGACGGCCACAAACGTTATGGTACAATGATGTACGTCCTAATCTATTACATGACCCCTTTGGCCCACGTCAGAATACAGGGTCGCCAGCGTCGACGGACGGTGTAGGAGGAGCCACCTCCTCTTCGAACAGTCAGGCCAGTGCCGTGCCAGGGGAACTCCTGATCGTCCTCTCGCTCCGTGTAGAGGCTCGGGGGCTCTTCTTGCAAACTTGCCGGGGACCCAGCGACCCGCACTCGCACTCAGGGGCCCGGCAAACGCAATAAACTCCTCGCTTAACAGGAACAAAGCCCCTGAAGGAGTAAATCCACTCCTCTAGGGCCTCGAGGGCTACACCCGGTGGGTGTGCTCGCGCGCACCCACCGGAACCACGAGAATAAAACACAATCCCGACGGGAGCAGCTGCAAGCCAAGTCTCGACAAACCCTTAGGGAGAGTGCTCGCACTCCTCCCGAGGCTCGGGGGCTACTGTCGGATACCATAAAAAGGGGTACCCTAAGCAAGAGCCGAAAAGATTGCTTAGACCTTACAAATATCAAAGCCGAAGGACAGCCACGGGGCCTCGGCCGATTCTCCGATTCGCCCCGCCGAGGCCCTCTCGCCGAGGCCCTCTCGCCGAGGCCGATTCTTCGATTCGCCCCGCCGAGGCCCTCTCGCCGAGGCCGATTCTCCGATTCGCCCCGCCGAGGCCCTCTCGCCGAGGCCGATTCTCGCCGAGGCCCTCTCACCGAGGCCGATTCTTCGATTCGCCCCGCCGAGGCCCTCTCGCCGAGGCAGTCCCTCTGGCAGGTTGTCCCATCCATTTAATGCGCCTGAATGCATCCGCTATGTCAGCCATGACTGGCAGGGTACAACAACAGGAGCGATGGGACAACGGTCAAATCTCCTTTTTACCATCCCTTACTGACGGTGCAGGGGTTGCCATGCCCTGCGGACACCCGTCCCGCACTTTTCCACCTAAACCGGTACGACGCTGACCGCCGAGGCCCCCGCCTCATACACAGGTCACCTCCAAGGCCTCGGCAAATCAGGCCTCAACGCGGTTAGCTACAACCTGCCAGGCCTCGGCACCCCACCAAGTCAAAAAATCCACAGGGCATGGCATGTCACCTACAGTGGAGGCCATGCTGACTAGACGTCAACAAGGACTCCTACGACTTCAACAGCCTCGGGCATGGCCTGCGTGACGCACCAGTGATCAAGTACCAATTGCCATTTTCCGACACTGTGATGCTACAGGGATAGAGTACTAGATCTTCCTTCTAATGCTCCACGTGTAGCTCTCTCTTGTATTCCTGGCTCCCTCCTTACAGCTATAAAAGGAAGCAGCCAGGGCCGTTTCTATGGACCGAGACCACGCCGGCCCTCACGCGCAAAACGCACTCACTCAATTCACACACGCTCCCACGCTGCCTGAGAGCAACGACTCAAGCAGCCCGCACCACTCCACGCCGAGACCTGGGACTAGCTCCCTCTCTCACCCAGCTTATAACCCCCTACTACAAGCACTTCGGTGCAGAGAATACAAGATCGATCTCCTAGACTAGACGTAGGGCACCGATTGCCTGAACCAGTATAAGCCTTGTGTCTCTTTGTATCACCATCCGGGATTAGGGGCACGCAGTTCACATTTACTGGTTGGTTGAGGACCTTCCGGTCCGAAACACCGACATGATTCAAAATGAACAGACCCAAGGGCAATTTCAGCAAGAAACAACAAGCGAAGGCGATGGAACACGTGAGCGTGAAACCAAATAAAAGGAGAAAAAAACTGTCCCTTTTGCAAATGCAAAGAAGAGAAGTAATTAAATGTAGGTGGATTTGGCAAGGTTCACAGAAATACAAGAGGTTCCTTTTGTCTTAATTCTCTTTCTTTCTGTATTAATTCTCTTTCCTTTTGTTTGTTGCCATGTATGCTGGTGCATGCAAACATGTAATTTGTATATAGATAGCACAATAATTTTCTACTTTCTATTTTGCCGTGATTCCTCTATCACATGACAGGCAATATTCAATCAAGGAGAATGACACGATCAATGTAGGCAGCATGCGGGAGATGTCGTGGGATCACAGACGTGGCCAGACGGACGAACCAAAATAAATGTCGTAAAAAATATCTTACACTTTGTTCTTTTTAGTTGTAGGAGATACGTGCAATATTTGTATATTCAAATAAATTTATTAAAAAACTAGATTCAAATATCTTTTCAACGATACCATTTGTGTACTATAAATATTAATATTTTTTAATATATATATAGGGAGAGTATATTCAGTAGTCAGCTATAAAATAAGTTATTCTGTAGCCACCTCCATTTACGATAATTTTATATACTAATTTACGATAATGTCAATACATATTTACGATAGTTGGATTACTATAACACATGGAGATATTTACTTATAGTAAACCACTTAGTAAGGAGCTACTATAATCTCATAAATTAACATAATAATTATCGTAACTCAAAGTGACTATAGAATAAGTTATTTTGTAGCCAGCTATAGGGTAGTAGTTCTATATATATATATATAAACTCCTTACATGGTAGTAGTTCTACATGGGAAGACTATAGTAACTCCTTATTAAATGGTTTACTATAACGTTATGGTAAATATCCTCATGTGTTATAGTAACCCAACTATCGTAAATATGTATTGACATTATCGTAAATTAGTATATAAAATTATCGTAAATAGAGGTGGCTACAGAATAACTTATTTTGTAGGTGGCTACTGAATATACTCTTCATATTATATATATATATATATATATATATTGTTATATTTGTTTCTCGAAAAATAAAAATGATAGATATTTTGGGACGGATGGAGTAGCTGATTTCTTCCATCTGGTATCTAGTAACAATTAGCTGACTAGAGGCCGTGGTTGAAATAAAAGAATTTTAGTGAATCCGTGCAGGGACGATGAAATATCCCGAAGGATATTGTTTGGAGTTTTTGCTCTGCTTTGGTTTCCCCATAGGGCTGCTTAGTATTAAGTTTGAGCTCCAATCTGTAAATGTAAATTGTATTTCTTGAAATTATTATTTTATACAGATTACAAATAGAATTGATGCGAAAGGTGGATCAAACACAGGGGACTGCAGATTGTCTAGTAAGAAGTCCATGCAATACTTCACCTTCACACACCTCGACAACATCGCTTGCTCCACACACCTGCAAAAATTCACAAATTGACATAGCCCAAGTACACTAACCAATGTCTCTGGTGCACAAAGACAGTGTGTAATATCCGAGTGAGAATCCCCAATGAAGTTAACCTCGATAGAAAAATACATATATATACGATTAGTAAAGAAAAACAATCCTTGGCAATTAAATTTTCTCTGAATTGTTCATATAGGAGAGAGATGACATACTTGTCAAAGTGTTAATCTACGGTTTAGGAAGAAGTTTATGATTTTCAGAGAACCGAAAACAATTCCTGTGCAACCTTGCCATTTCTTTTCTTTCATTCCAACATTGCAAACCCTAACCTTGTACCTCTCGGCCACGCTCCCTCTCTTTTTTCTTGTGGTGATGACTGGGTGACCCTTACCCCACCCTGCTGGTGCTCTCTCCCCCTCTCATGATGACGACTGGGTGATAGTTGTTGCCGCCCTACGCCAAGTGACAAGGTGTTCATACCCTTTCACTGGTGACAAGCACCACTAGATACACCCCACCCCACTCCTTTGCCCATGTTCGCTTCGCTGAAAAGTCATGGCTGAAAGTACTGTTCGCTGATTTATTGGGAGAGAAAAACACTGTTCCTTCGCTGAAACAGTACGGCCCATAAGACAAGCGAACAGGGCTTTGTATTCGTCTTCCTACCTGTGCGATTCGAGCACCCAAATTTATGTCTGATAGTCGTGCATATTTGGACTTGAGAACGTCGGTTTTTAGATCCGACAGACATGTCACAGGTGCAATTCTATCCCTGCAGTTTGTGAGTTTTGGGCTCCAAATCAGGTGCGGGTGGGTTTTGATTCTTTTCCCCATGGGTGCTACGGTCTCTGAAATTGGAAGAAGTCCATCTGACCTCCCTCATGCACAAGTCTAATTTTACCATCAACCAGGAATTTTGGACTTTTAGACCCCTAGTTTTTACAGCCATCTGATTTACCTCCCTCTACAGTTTTGAAAACGGTTTCACTGCTGTGGCACCATGTCAGCCACGAGGAAGGTAAATCGAACATTCACGATAGTTCAGGGAGGTTAATTAAATTTTGTCAAAAACTTAGTTTTTTTAAATAACCAAATATTTTTCTAAAAACATAAATTTGAAAATACTAAAATATCATGTAACCTAAAAAAATCATAGAAATATGTTTTAACTTAGAAAAAAATATGAAAATGGTTTCATATTTTTCATAAAATCATGCTCTATGTTTTTATGAGTTAGGATCCATAATAATATAAAGCATGATTTTCGAAAACACATGAAGTCCGACATCTCGAGACCATCTGTCATGACCTAGCACATGGGCCTGTAATAGTATTAGGGAGTGGGTCATGGTTTAGGCCTGCGTGCCTTTCATTGTGTTGGGCTTGGTCCATGTATGAAGCCATATATACCCTTTGGCTGCTCTGTAGACGATAATGAAATGAACTAATCTCCTCCAAATCTTCTATTTCTCTCCTCTTCTCCGTTCTTCTCCAGAGACGGCGCCGCCGATCTCCCCCCGCCGTGCGTGTACGCCGGTAGTTACCTCAAGGATCGTGACATTTGGTACCAGAGCCATCGATCGAGGAAGTATGGCCCGACCCGGATCTACACTGTCCGTGGCCACCATCGCCGAGCTCGAGGCGAAGATGGATCGCATGCTGCGGATGATGGAGGAAGTGAACGCGGGGATGTGTAGCACCCTCAAGACCCTCGCATCTGCGACACGGTCGTCCGCGCCCTCGTCTTCGCCCACTTCACCGGCGCCCTCGACTCCGACCGCTGCGCCGGCAGTTGCGACACCACCATCCACCCCAGCATTGACTGCAGCGCCTACACCCATCGCCGCCACAACACCCGGTGCCATCGATGAGTGCGTGGTCACGCCCACCGCTTGCAACAAGCATGTTGTGGCATCGCACATCATGATAGGTGCGCCATAGTTCTCTTCGACCACCACCACGCCGCCCGATGTCATCGACAACTGCTCGGTCCTGTTCTCCGCCTGCAGTGAGCACGCCGCGGCATCATCTACCTCACCAGCGTACATGGCTCCTACCACTTCACCGACCGAGCCCACCGCTGCACCGACCTCCAGGCCGACACCAACTGCTCTGACTATAGCTTCGACTCCCATCCCCAAACTAAACTCGCCAGGTGCAGAGGACAACCCTACAGTCGCCCTATCCACCAGGTGTTCGACGGATTGCTTCCGCCGCGACACCAACATGCTTATGCCTGGGAGCAGCGACACCACCATCGTTTGCACTACTCCCTCGAAAGGTATTTCTATGTTCGGGATTTGCTCCAATGTTCCTGAGGTCCTTGAGGTGATTGAGAAAGTGCCTGGGCAAACTTCAGAGATTGAGTTGAAACCATGGCCTAATTGGCACGGACATCAGGGCAGTCTCATAGTGGCACTTGTCTGTCCACATTCAAGCATAGTGATATGGGTTCAGTTTAACTGCGCAGTGCATAAGCTCCTAGTCTGGCCTCTCCATTGCGAGTCACGGTGGGAATGTTGTGCAGATTGTCTTCAGCTACTTGTAAGCGCAGGGCAAGTTGATTCTATCAAAATGGAGGCCATTGGGTTGATTCAGTTGCATATTGCTATTCCAGTCATAGAGTTGTACTGTCTGTTATTCACCTGCTACCATCAGCCAGTGCATTGGAAGCCCCCATGGTTATCTCTGGTATACATCATCAGTAACATACCCTATATTGCCTACAGCCTCAGGATCAGGACACCTCCTCTGAAAAACATAAACTCTTTGCTCACAGACACCTGCGTGTTGTGCTCACAGTCATGGCAACCCTTTAGCAATGGTCAGCTAGATGTGCTATTGCGGCAGCCATGGCCACCACCTCTGCTGTTTGACCTGATGGGTTCTGATGGTCCACTCAAGCCAACACCATGGCCATCTTTCTGTGAGTCTGCAGCTGCTCTGCATTTGCAAAATTCATCAGCATTGATGCTTGCTATTTCCTTAACAGCAGTACAAACATCATCAGTGTGGCAATAAGTGAGTGGTAAGGCTCTGGACTTCATAATTCTATTGCCAACCTTGTGCTCCCACACTAGCCAAGGTTTATATCAACTGAAAATTGTGATATCATACAAGCACAGTCATGAGCTGCTATTCAGTCTCAGTCAGTATGCTTCTCTATTGCTACATTCTAGTCAGTGGTGCTTTGGTCAGTTATGGAAGCCACCATGGCCATGTCAAGGTCATGTACTGGCCAATGGTAGCGAAAGTGTGGTCCAGGTGTTCTTGTGGCCACTGCTTGTGCAGCATGTGATTTCAGTTGTTTCAATGAAACTTTTTCTGATTTCAGTTCCGAGATGGCAGCAAAAGTGTGATGGTACTATAAAATGGAATGATTTCCTTCTCTTGGATGGGGATCTAATTATTACTTGGAGCACAACTGAAGAGAGGAGGGCTGCCAAGTGTATGAGGCATGGGAGTTGCTACTGTTGTGTGGTTTGGGGTGGCCCTGTTATTTTGGTTTTTGTACCAGCATCGGGACATTTACTTGGGGGTGAAACACTGCTGCGCAATATTTGGCTAGTCCAGAAGTGGCACCATTCACACAATCCTGCAGATGCATCTTTTCCCATATACCTGATTGGTCTCAATGCTGTTTTGGCCTTAGATGGCTGTGGCAATAACCACCTGTGTGCTTCTGAGCTTTATTCCATACTGATGCAGCCATACCACAGCTGGTTATCTTTGAGTGAAACAAAATGTGTGGGAGGAAACTCTGTGATGCTACAATTCTCAGTGGCTACCTGCATGATACTATCACCTGTGAATTATAACAACAGCAACAATGGAAGTGTCTTTCACCAGTGGTTGATATTTGCGCCAGTTCTTGAGCTTCTTCATCTCCCATGCTGCAAGCCATGTTCCAGTGCAGGGAAGCTACTTCTTGTTTGGACTGAACCATATGTTATCCAGATAAGTTCCAACATGCAAATACTCTACCTGTGCATTCCTACTCAACACTATGGACTACTCTATTCTGGAAGGCCAGTGCTACTTCCACTTGCCTCAGCAATTTTGCTTGCCTGGTGTGATAATGAGGAGTTGGAACATGACATGATTATTTTGCCCGGTCCTCAAGCGACAATTTCTGTGGGGCTGCTACTACATTTGATAGTCTTTGGTTTGACTGATTTTCATGGCAATGAAGCAGACCGATCTTATTTTCTCGGAGCATGGGAAGCTATATATAGTGAGTGTTTTGCTTCTACAGTTGTTCTGTCAATGGTTCCTGTCATTCAGTTTCAAGCATATCCAAGTCTGAACTCGAAAACAATGGAAGTCATGTACAAGACACTAACTAATTCTAGCATGCTGGCACTTCAATTCTATAATCTGACGGTGGAAGATCCTTGAAGGCTATTCCATTTATGCTACCAAGGGTTCCTCTCATTCTTTTTAGTGCATCTTCAAGTCAACACTTCAGCAGTCTGCACGTCATCACCTACGACATAATGGCTGGTTGTACCACCCTGGAGCTCCAAGTCTGTCGCCTGATGATTGCAGACCCTTGACGGCTTTGGTTTCAACAAAGTAAATCAATGTCAAACCTCTGTTATACAAAACAATGGCAATGCTTATGTGGTGATTGAAACATCCACAACTTGAGGGCAAGCTGTTGCTTAAGCAGGGGAGAATGTCATGACCTAGCACATGGGCCTGTAATAGTATTACGGAATGGGTCATGGTTTAGGCCTGCGTGCCTTTCATTGTGTTGGGCTTGGCCCATGTATGAAGTCATATATACCCTTTGGCTGCTCTGTAGACGGTATCGATAATGAAATGAACTAATCTCCTCCAAATTTTCTATTTCTCTCCTCTTCTCCGTTCTTCTCCAGAGACGGCGACGCCGATCTCCCCCCGCCGTGCATGTACGCTGGTAGTTACCTCAAGGATCGTGACACCATCCAAACTATCTTCTTGTTCGATCATGTGCTCTTAATGCGTGCGCAAACCTAACTTCGGCGACAAACAAGGAATCAACATGTCCATCTGGATTTTAAGTATTTGTGTTGACTAAAATTTTCTTAGTTAAAAGTTTTTGTGCATAATTAGTTATGCATTTTCATATTTCTATAAAGACCGCTACTAGCTTGATATAACTTTTAGAGGAAGGCACCGATAAATGTCACAGCCCACATGGGCGGATTTAAGGGTATTCCTCGGTATTCTCGGGAATAACCAACTATTTTGGTACACTTTTTATGTATATATGTGTATATACTTATATATATAAATGTATAATGTATAATGCTATAATTTGTAGTATTTTTGCGCTTTTGAGCACAAAACAGTAAAAAAAACCTGGTGCTTTGTGTTAATCTGTAGTATTTTCGCGCATATCTTAGAGTTGGCTAGCTCAACAATTTGTCATTTGACTATCTTGTGACTTTAATTATTGGTAACGTACTACTCTAAATTATATTTTAAGCCTATGGATTCGTTTTTTTTATGATATAGAAGTGGGAATACCCAAGTTTCAAATCCTGGCTCCGCCACTAACAACCAACTATTTACAACATTGTTTTTTATATGATTTTTTTGTGCAAAGTCGTATTGATGAGAAAATGTTGTGTGCAGTTTGCACGGTGATTCACACTACAGTCACAAATGATTTGTCTTGGCCTGCTTCTGCTTTATATTTGGCTTAGTTTTATATTTTTATGAGACCATATAAGATTCAAATAATTGGAACAAAAACGTAGAGCATGGTTTTATAAAAATATAAAACTAGTTTCATATTTTTTTTGTGTTAAAACAAATTTGCTATGTATTTTCTAGGGTTAATTAAGGTTTTAGTATTTTTAAATACATATTTATAAAAATATTTGGATGTTTTTTAAAAAAAATATTTCTTTAATTTTTTGATAAAGCTTAATTGACCTCACTGACTATCGAAAGTCTGATTTAACTAGCCTTACGGCTGACCTGGCGCCACATAAGCTAAAACTGTTTTTAGAATCATTTAAGGAGATAAATCGAATGGTTTTAAAAGTCGACAGTCTAAAATCTAGTTTTATGGACTTTTATGGGTTTTTAGCAACACCACTCTCCTTTATTTAACTCGAAGAGTTGTAAGAGTTACATACACCATCTGGTGGACTTAAAAACCAAATATGTCGACCTATGTCAGCCTCTACGAGCGATGTTATGAGCATTGACATTGGACTCCCTCTTTTCATGCACAAACTCAACGCTTCTGAAGGCTGCCTTCCTCACGCTGATCTCATGAATGATTTGCCCATATACTCCAAGATTGCCTTATAAAATATTCTTCACGACATTCAGACAATCACGGGCCACTCTAAAACTCTTCACTCGTAAGTCAAGGCTAGGGTCATACCTTCTCTGCCGGCAATGGATTCTATCACCTCTGGTCCCCGTAGAATCAGAGCCGAAGCTCCCATGAACCGACCAGTCTCGTCCCTGATAGTCGCCGCTGTCGAAGCCTTCAACTCATTCTTGAGCACTGCATCCACAGTGATCTTGACAACACCCGTTGGGGGTTTTAATTGAGGGAGTTTAGATGGACCTTTCCCCCAAAATTGAAGTATAGCCGATATCGACTTAGCCCACGAAAGAGCCACAGCCGGCCCAGCCCACGGTATAACCCTAGCACCCTTGGTATTTAGTTCCCAGCAGCAGTAGGCCACGCTCCCAGCCGCACGCCGCCGCCGCTCGCTGCTCGGCCGCTCTCCTCTCTCGACCACAGCTACACCGCGCCACCGGCAAGTCTGCACTTTAGGTGAGCTCCAATCCCCCGCCGCAAGTCACAAGATTTGAATTCTGTAGCAGTCAATCAGGAGATCTCGTGCTCTGTTTGGTGGAAAGGGCAACATGTTGTAGATGCGAATTTGTTCCATGCACATCCTCAGGACTGTCTAGGCGCCCATCTGGTACTGTATTGTCAAAACAAGGTGTTTAAGTTGAACTGATGCGTAATGGAACTGTATATTCTAGTTCCTATCGTAAATCTGCAATACTACTGCAATTTTTGTCATTTATGAACAATCCAATTTGTGCCAAACCTTGTATCCGGATCTTATATATTTATAAGTGTATGCATGTATTATGCCTACCTAACTTCGATTGTTTTGCAAAAAGTATCGGGTACTGGGTCCGCCATTGCCAAGTTACCGAACCATTGCAGCTGTTCCTTTAATCTCACCCATTACTCTTGTCGTCTCTTCTCAGGAACGCTGCTCGCAATTCGGGTGCCGGCGCCATGAGGTACCGCCGCGCTTCTCTTCTGTCTCACTGTGGTTGCGTGGTGCTTTCTCTGTTGAACATGCGAATATCTAACGTGATGCACTCGTTGGAGTTCACAGAGTGCACATTGTATTGTTTATAGTTGCTGATATGTGCAGTGTGTGTCTTCTGTATCATGTTGCTTACCCGGCTTTGTGTAGATTTATATAGATTTTTGATGGTATATTTTCCATTCCTATTATCGTCATTAGCTGTTAGTTTTGTTAACCTGCTGCAAGGTTTGAATGTCACCATAGGCAGCGGATCAGTTTCTGTATATTTTACTATGTTGTAGAATTTGGCAGATTGGACCTGGTCTGCTGGGTCTTTTGTATGACTTAATGTGATGTTTGGAAATTAGCATGCCAGCAATTCTCTTAGTTCTGTGTGGTTCCTTTAGCTGTACTTATATAAATGGGGGGATTGGTGGAATATCTAACTTGTTTATCTTAGCATTTGAAGTTTTCAGTGTTTTGTCTGTCTTATTAGCCCATTGGTTGTTGCGTTAGAATAGACTTGTATTCTGCAGATTCAGTTTTGTAAAATACTAATGTTATGTAGCTAGTTGCCCTGTTGTTTCCTGTTCCTTTTGGTTTAACTTGGTGCAATCATCTGTGTTCCCCGGAATTGGTTTCTTAATAAATGTCATGTCAAAAGATCTACTTAAATCTAAGACAAATTTTGCTATGCACGTGTTATCAGTATTGTTTGTAAAAATATATAAAAAAACAAGGGCCTTAATGCATCATGCAATTAATTGTTTCATCTTTCCTTGTTTCAGTAAGCTGCAGAGTGATGCTCTGAGGGAAGCGATTGCCTCGATTACCAATGATTCCCGTGAGAAGCAGCGCAAGTTTGTTGAAACCATTGAGCTTCAGATTGGTCTCAAGAACTATGACCCTCAAAAGGACAAGCGTTTCAGTGGTTCTGTTAAGCTGCCTCACATCCCTCGCCCTAAGATGAAGGTTTGCATGCTTGGTGATGCTCAGCACGTTGAGGAGGTATGTTATGCTTCCATCAGTATGTTCCATGTTTTTTTTTTGTGTAAAATTACTTGTACTCAGGAATTCAATTGTTTGCTCTTCTAGCGAAATATTAGCTTAACAAAGTTCTTGAGTGAGGGGCTGTTGTATATGATCAAACTATTTAGCAAATGAATCGACTTTAGTTCCTTGCCTTTCTGCTTATGTGCAATGTTATCCTGTGCTGTTAAAACGCTTGATATTCAGCATAGTACAATTTGCTATGTATATTTATATTGTAGGCTTATATATAGTATAACTCTCCATGACATCAACAAGTTTTGTACTGCTGAATAGAACCATACAAGTGTCCTTTCAGACAAGTTCATTGGTAATGCCTTGTTTGGCTTTGTTCTGATATATCTGTTCAAATGTTGGTACTATGCTGTATGTAGGCAGAGAGAATAGGTCTAGACAGTATGGATGTGGAAGCCCTCAAGAAGATGAACAAAAACAAGAAGCTAGTCAAGAAGCTGGCAAAGAAGTACCATGCTTTCCTTGCGTCTGAGGCTATCATTAAGCAAATTCCTCGTCTTCTTGGTCCTGGTCTTAACAAGGCAGGCAAGGACCTCTTCCTTTTGTCTGTTGGGTCTACATAGTCTGTTGTTATGTTACTAGTTTTTTTTATTGAGTTTAACCTCTGCATTTATTTGTGTTAAATTGGCGGCAAAATTGTTTCTAGAATCATGATCCCTATTTTCCCAAGATTTCTTAATAATATACTTTTTCATTTTTGTTAATCAAACTGTGCTCATATTGGTATATCTTGTGAGGAGGGTGCACACTATTATTGTTCTTGTGGAGCGTAATCAAATTTTCTTTCAGAGGATAGTTATCGATTATAGGGTATGCTAGTTTGGAATAGGCCACAATGGTCTTGGGTTGTATAAAGCATGGTGATCATCACAACTCCATGTTTGTACATTGTTTGTAGACCTAGTCATTTATCTTGTTCTTTTTCATTGGAGCAACCAACAGTTCTGATGAGTTAGTTTTTTGTTCTTGATTTAATAATGTCAACTTGAAGGCCATTGTTTTTATAATAACATTGTGAGCTGCAACGTGAAGGGCGGGCTTGGTGCAAGCGGTAGAGTCTTATCGCCTTTGACCGGAAGGTCCCGGGTTCGAGTCGCGGTCTCCTCGCATTGCAAAGGCGAGGGTAAGGCTTGCCACTGACACCTTTTCCCCACACCCCGCACAGAGCGGGAGCTCTCTGCACTGGGAACGCCCTTTATTGTGAGCTGCAACGTGGGCTGTGTATAGCATAAAATGATACTATAAGTTGATTTCCTTAAACTTCTGCATTAAGGATCTGTGCTCATCTTTCAAATTGTGTTCTACTGCAGGAAAGTTCCCTACCTTGGTGACACACCAGGAATCCCTCGAGTCCAAGGTTAATGAGACAAAGGCTACAGTTAAGTTCCAGCTAAAGAAGGTACTTTGCATGGGTGTTGCTGTTGGCAACTGTGGTATGGAGGAGAAGCAAATCTTCCAGAATGTGCAAATGAGCGTCAACTTCCTTGTGTCACTCTTGAAAAAGAATTGGCAGAATGTATGCTTCTGAAATGTTCCTCACAGCTGTATAAAATTCATGCTTATATGTACTAATATATTATTAACCACTGGGTTAATGACGTCCTACGTGTTTGTGTGTTTGCAGGTGAGATGCCTGTACCTGAAGAGCACTATGGGAAAGGTGTACCGGGTGTTCTAAAATTTCCAATTAGGCTTAGAATTTCCAGGAGACTTGAGTGCTTGGGCCATTTTGCAATTTTCCCTACCAACCAATTTTTTGCGCAACTACTATCGAGGATTAAGTAGTTAATACCCTGGTCTTGTATGGATGTTTTGGTTCTTGATACCGAACTTATGACATTATCGTATTTCGATATTGCTGTCTTCACTCACGGGTACAGGCTTTGATGGTCTTTTATTTTTTAACCCTGATTGCTTTATCGCATCCAATGAAATTGGTGCATTTTATCGTTGCTTGGCTGTTTCAAGTCACGGTATGGTCGGTGCCGGACTGCCGGCTGGCAGTGCGTTCCCCATTGGACAGAAAGAATCTTGGTGTATCCTTGTTGGGACGTTGGACTACCCGAAGAGTAGCTGTTTGTTGTTTCGTTGCGTTCGGGTTTCTCCATAGATAGCTAGCTGCCAAGTATTAGTTTCGGCTTCAATCAAGCTGTAAATGTAGATTCTTGTACAGCTACACGGAGTAAAACTAGAATCGATCTACACGCACCCGTCACTCACGCGTCATCTATTGCGTTTCTCTGGTAATGTATCTTGTTGGGACGCAGAACGTGGCGCCAAGACTATCTTCAACAACAACGCTCAAAATACAAAGCCCTATTTAACGTTTAGGTAACGCTACAGTTAAATGGTTTAATATTTATTCGACATCATCTCCAACAACAGGACTCAAAAGAGAATCCTTTTTAAATAAATTTTTAGGAGAGAGGATACTTATATTTGGGTTGTGCCTATCAGACAACCAAAAATAGGTCTCCCGTATAAGTACTCTATTGGAGTTTAATTTTGGATCTCCTGCTACCCATTTTAAATTTTGATGCCCATATAAGTCAACTATTGGAGACAGTCTAGCACAGATTCAAGCTGGACGATACAGGAAATCCGCTATTTTTTGTCGCATGTGTTGTAGTTCAGTTTTGAAGTCACCTCCATGATATACGTTCACATATAACTATGCGTGATCTTAATCGACGCAAAAAGAAAATGTTTATGCATTGCCGTTGTTACCCATGCCAAACCAAGCTATAAAAAGGACACCTGGCTAAGCAGACTTTCCATCAACTATCACCACTGAGAACCAAAACAAAATTCCTAGTAAGTGGTGGGTACGCTGAAGCCATGGCAGGCCGAGCTCTCACTCACATTCACTTCCAGCTCATTGCCACCATCCTGGTGGCGCTCGTCGCCACATGCCACGCCGGCAGCATCGCCGTGTACTGGGGTCAGAACGACGGCGAGTCGTCCCTGTCCGAGACGTGCGCGTCCGGGAACTACAAGTTCGTCATCCTCGCCTTCGTCTACAAGTTCGGCAAGGGCCAGACGCCGGACCTGAACCTTGCCGGTCACTGCGTTCCCTCGTCGGGCAACTGCAAGCTTCTGAGCAAGGACATCCACTCGTGCCAGCGCCGCGGTATCAAGGTCCTGCTCTCCATCGGCGGCGGCGAGAGCAGCTACGGCCTGTCGTCAGAAAGCGACGCGCGCGAAGTGGCCGCTTACCTCTGGAACAATTACCTGGGCGGCACGTCGTCGTCCCGCCCCCTCGGCGATGCCATCCTTGACGGCGTCGACTTCGACATCGAGCAAGGCGGCGCCAAGTTCTGGGACAGCCTCGCCAGGTAAACTCTCGGAGGCTCAGAGCCGCGATCCGTCGTCGTCGTCGTTGCACTGCGCGCTCGTATTGAGTACACGATCCTGACATGGCTGCACGACACGCATGCAGGGACCTCAAGAAATTGGGTAAGAAAAAGGGCAGCAAGGGGGTGCTTCTGAGCGCGGCGCCGCAGTGCCCGTTCCCGGACGAGTGGGACGGCGGCGCGATCAACACGGGGCTGTTCGACTTCGTGTGGGTGCAGTTCTACAACAACCAGCCGTGCCAGGTGAGCGCTGGCCGCGGCGCGTTCCTGGCCGCGTGGAAGAGGTGGCAGTCGGTGCCAGCGGGCAAGATCTTCCTGGGTCTGCCCGCCTCCAACAGCGCGGCGGGCACCGGGTTCGTGCCCGCCGCCCAGCTCACGTCGCAGGTGCTGCCGCTCATCAAGGGCTCGCCCAAGTACGGCGGCGTCATGCTCTGGTCCAAGTTCTACGACAAGGGCTACAGCGACGCCATCAAGAAACACGTCTGATATTTCCCGTAAAATGCGGGCGCTGCTGGCTGGGTGCTTTAATGTTCGTGTCACAACGTCTTACAGAGTCGCGAGACAATGCTCTCTGTAGTGCAGTGAATTTTCCTGTACCATGTTGGGTTGTGTTGCAGATTCATTTGTTTCTCACATGTATGACGCATTACACACACAGTTGAATAAAAAAGGCATCAAGAATTTTTTTTGTGCTATAGTTCGCATATTGAGAAAATCTGTATTCATGTCTTTATAATCGACTACATTTAAAAAAAAACATATAGTTCTGAGTCTGATTTTTAGCCATCCATTTTTTAACATTAGCTCAAATTTAGAGTGATTTTGAGTAATCTAGTGTTGATGTAGAGACACGGCAAATGTCAAATAATATTTAAAATTCATAAATAAATGGCTTAAAAGCTTAAAAATCTCGCCTTCATCAAGACTATTTCTAACCTAAGTAACTTCCTCTAAGGAAAATAGAGCATTTTATAACAGCATAAAAATGTAGAGTTTAAAGTAAAACAAACTCCTTTCGAAAAAAAGTAGCTGAGACTAGTTCGCTTCTTTTTCAATGTCTTCACATTCTGACTTCTTCGTTCTTAATCTCCATAAACAACCAATCCTTTCTCATGTTCAGGGGAAGGTCCAAAAGTGCTTTGAAAACTCGATCATCATGATTCATCATACCATATGCTTCCAGATAATTATCATGTCTCAAATCTGGTATTTGGTCAAGTGCATCAAGGATCTCATGTGAGAAGTAGGCTTTAGTAGTTCCACACTTCATAGCAGAGGCAAATGATGTTTAATGTCCAAAGCACTCTGTGTTTTTATTTTTAAAAAAAGGCAGACATGATGACCAATGCATACAATTGAGTAAAACAAAACCATTGCAGTATGATACTTTTCCCAGAAATCAGCTGTTAAATAAGAAAAACAAAGGACTGTTAGCATTGTGAAAAATTCAGCTCTTGTTGTAACATGTCAGTGTAAATCTCCTCTACATATCGAGAGAATGTGTAAATGCTAACAGTTTTTACTCCATACAATAAACATAACAAATAAAATAAATTAGCATACCTACTATTACTGATCAATCATTAGGGGAATCACTGGCCACTACGAATGCAAAAAACATCAACGATTCATGACACCCGTTGAAAATGCAAACCATTTATGCAGGAACCAGAAAAGGAGCAATTTTTGTCGCATGTTTGTGGTTTAGTTAGTACGGTGATTATCACATTTGAAGTCAGCTTCAATGATTACATTGATCATCACGGGAATGTAAACTGCACATGGGATTACCGTGCGTAAATAAATAAAACTTTACTTAACCGCAACCACTTCGAGGTAAATTCACACAGAAGTGCAAACGAACCACGGCACGAAACCTACTCAAAGTTCTCTCCACGGCGTTCATATTGCTAACGCAAACAGTTATAAAAGGAGACACGAATATGCACACTTCGCCATCCCATCTCAGCTCTACTCACTACTACTCGTAGAACAACTTCCTAAAGTTAGTATCCAAGTTGGGCACGCTCGATCAAGCCATGGCAAACCGAGCTCTAGCTCCATTCCTTCTCGTGGCCACCCTCTTGGTGGCTCTCCTCGCCACATGCCATGCCGGTGGCATCGCCGTCTACTGGGGCCAGAACGACGGCGAGGCGTCCCTGTCCGACACGTGTGCGTCAGGGAACTACAAGTTCGTCATCCTCGCCTTCGTCTACAAGTTCGGCAAGGGCCAGACGCCCGAGCTGGACCTCGCCAGCCACTGCAACCCCTCATCGGGTGGCTGCACGGGGTTGAGTGACGACATACGTTCGTGCCAGAGCAGCGGCATCAAGGTCCTGCTCTCGATCGGCGGCGGTGACGGCAGCTACGGCCTGTCGTCCCAGGGGGACGCGCGGGACGTGGCCGCCTACCTCTGGAACAATTACCTGGGCGGCACGTCGTCGTTGCGCCCCCTCGGCGACGCCGTTCTTGACGGCATTGACTTCGACATTGAGCTCGGCGGCTCAAGGGCCAGTTTGGATGGCGAAATTTTTTGCAAAACGACACTGTAGTGTTTTCGTTGTTATTTGGCAATTAGTGTCCAATCATAATCTAATTAGGCTTAAAAGATTCGTCTCGTGGATTTCGTCTAAACTGTGTAATTAGTTTTATTTTTTATTTATATTTAATGCTTCATGCATGTGTCCAAAGATTCAATGTGACGGGGAATCTTAAAAATTTTGGCAAAATGAAGTGCAACTAAACAGGGCCCAAGTACTGGGACAGCTTGGCCAGGTAAACTCTCGCAGCCTGCTTCTCGTCGTGGCACGCTCGGTCGTGTTGGTTAACTCCGCGTTTGCTCACCGCCTCCACCCCGGGCGCGCGCCGTGCAGGGACCTCAAGAACATGGGCAAGAACAAGGTCGGCGGCAGGGGGTGCTCCTGAGCGCTGCGCCGCAGTGCCCGTTCCCTGACGAGTGGGACAACGGCGCGATCAACACGGGGCTGTTCGACTACGTGTGGGTGCAGTTCTACAACAACCCTCCGTGCCAGGTGAACGCGGGCCGTGGCGCGTTCATGGACGCATGGAAACAGTGGGAGTCGGTTCCGGCGGGACAGATCTTCCTAGGCCTGCCGGCCTCCAAGGACGCGGCCGGCACCGGGTTCGTGCCCGCCGATGATCTCAACTCTAACGTGCTGCCGCTCATCAAGGGATCGTCCAAGTACGGTGGCGTCATGCTCTGGTCCAAGTACTACGACGATCGACCGTGCAGGCTACAGTGACGCCATCAAGAGCCACGTGTGATCATTAGACATATGCAGGATGTGCCTGCCTGTGCATATACATATGCTTGGTGTTAGCAGATCTTTCATATTTATGCGATTTATTGTACTTTGTGTTGTTGGTAGTCCTTCAGATTTCATTGTTCGTCACATGTAGAATGTATCAGGCAGCTGAATAAAAATAGAGATCTTTTGTAATGGGAAAGCACCGTTTTCTAGTTTCAGGAGATATCAAAGCCACCCAATGACCGACCCAAGATTTCAAAGTTGGGTATATCCAAGTAAAATACAAAGAAGCCTCTAATTTAATTATGAAAGAAATTAAACTGAGAATTTGAGATGTACGCAGGCTTCCACCTTCCTGTGTTGTGGTCGTATTGGTCAGCAACTGGCGGGGAGGGGGATCCTGGCAGCAGAGGCTGAGTAGCAACTAGCAAGCGCTGCTGCGCTGGATGGACGAACAGGCGCCCCTATTTGTTGGTGGATCTGCCCATAGGGCAGTAGGGTGCCAATGCGCGGGGTGCTATCGTGCCGAGCGGTGACGGCTTGGGAGTTGGGACGACAATGCTAGCCACTAGGGTTTCTGGTTCGGTGGTTCCGCCTCTTGCTGTCTCGCAACCTCGTGGTGAGGGAAAGGCCAGATGACACTAAAGTCTGGGCCATGAGGTGTGGACAGTGGGCTGATGAGTAATGAGTGGTTGGATTATCCAGGCACGAGTAGTAGGTCCAGCCCTGAAGCCACCATGCCTCTAATCATATGATGAGACCTGTACTCTACTACTAACCTACTTCATCAACAATAGAAACAAACATGAATTAAGGTGTCAAGTAGATCTGATCATGGTCATGAACCACCCCATCTGACCTCTTCGGGAAAACAAAACTCGATCCGATCTAACCCAACAGTGCGTCGAATCAGGTCTAGGATATACTCCGTCCGTACTAAAAAAAAATGAAGTTGTTTTAGATAACGACATGGTCTCCAAAGCATAACTTTGACTACTTATTTTTATAAAGATATTTATCAAAAAGAGATATATGTAAATTTTTATGAAAGTATTTTTCAAGACAAATCTATACATATGGTTTTCACATTTTAAACTCAACAACTTAAAAGTTATTCATGATTTATATTTCCAATGTTTGAGTATGGAGGGAGTAACTTTCAACCTATATACCCAACCTCACATGAAAAATCAGGACCAAGATAGAAAATCCCAAAAATTTGACTGACCTGCCACTGCGTTGGATTGAGCTAGGATCAAAGATTTTAACCCAATATTGAGGATAAGCCAGCACGGGGCAACCGACCCGACCGCGCTGGCACATGACGGGCTGGTAACTCGAGGCACGAGGGACTCTCCCGGTGTGATTGATCGATTCACTCCTACATGCATGCTACAGGATCATCAATCATCATGCGGCACACTTCCGACCTGGTCGATAGTCAATCAGCCAGCAGCGTGTGATTACAGGGTTTCTCGCCAAGTGGGCTCTTAAAAAAATCGAAGAGAGCAATTCTACGTTTTTACTGTTTTATTACCACCTTACGAACCTGCTCGAGTATGCATGTTTTTCTGCAAACAACAAATCCATTTGTGACGTTCCAAGGGCCAGGCCTGTAGGCTGTAGATATTGTCAGTTTCCATGTGAAGGGCAGTCTAGTATTCTAGTACCGCACTCCTTAAATAGCTCCCAAGCAGACAAGCAGTATGTCTTATGCTCTGTTTAGTTTCCAAAAATTTTCACCTCAAAATATCACATCAAATCTTACGGTACATGTATGGAGTACTAAATGTTGGCGAAAAACAAAACTAATTACACAGTTAGGTGAGAAATTGAGAGACGAAACTTTCGAACCTAATTAGTCCATAATTAGACACTAATTGTCAAATACAAACGAAAGTGCTACAGTAGCCAAAACCAAAAAAATTCGCCAACTAAACACGCCCTTAGACGGCAATCATCATGACTGCAGGGGAATGAAGAATGAATGTTGCTGCACCTGACATCAACCGAAATGTACTTAATTTTCACGAAGCTGAAACTGAAAGGATTGGTATAGAAATGGAACAAGCCAAGGAGCACGCCTACTTCGTTCGGCCGGCTGTCCACTCTTCCGTCCACGAGCGCCACCGTGATATGCCGGACCAGTTACTATCTACAGGCCCATCCCGTGAGTCCGTGACGATCACATTGCTAATGCCATTGCTAACACTGGCAAACCGCTATAAAAAGGTGACATCGATCACATTCAGTCATTCACACTTCACAAGCCACAGCTAACCGAAGCTAGCTCAAAGCTAATCCTTACTAGCACTAGCACACTGTCTTGGACTAGGCTAGGCATAGGCTTAATTAATCGCTAACTCGCTGGTTAACCATGGCAGGTAGACCTCTCACTTCCTTCCAACTCACTGCCATCCTCTTGCTGGCGCTCCTCGTTACGTGCCACGCCGGCGGAATCGCCGTATACTGGGGCCAGAACACGGGAGAAGCAACCCTGTCCGCGACGTGCGCGTCCCGCAAGTACCAGTTCGTCATCCTCGCCTTCGTTTCCCAGTTCGGCCAGGGCCGGGCGCCACAACTGGACCTGTCCGGCCACTGCGACTCCTCGTCGGGCCGCTGCTCCGGCCTGAGCGATGACATCCGCTCGTGCCAGCGCCGCGGCGTCAAGGTCCTGCTCTCCATCGGCGGCGGCGTTGGCAAGTACGGCCTGTCGTCGGCCGCGGACGCGCGGCTGGTGGCCGCGTACCTCTGGAATAGCTACCTCGGCGGCACGTCGTCGTCACGTCCGCTCGGCGATGCCGTCCTTGATGGCATCGACTTCGACATCGAGCTCGGCAGCGCCAAGTTCTGGGACAATCTCGCCAGGTATACACTACTTTCGCAGCCGCGCCTAATACTCGTCCTCTTCGCTGCATGGTCGTTTCGAGTTCACATATATACTCATGCTCTGATCGGACACCACTGGCGCAGGGACCTCAAGGACATGGGCAAGAATAATGGCGACAAGGCGGTGCTGCTGAGCGCGGCGCCGCAGTGCCCATTCCCGGACGAGTGGGACAGCGCCGCGATCAACACGGGGCTGTTCGACTTCGTGTGGGTGCAGTTCTACAACAATCCGGAGTGCCAGTTCAGCTCGGGGCGCAAGGCCTTCCTAGACGCATGGAAACAATGGGAGTCGGTGCCGGCGGGGCAGCTCTACCTCGGACTGCCAGCCTCCAAGGACGCGGCAGGCACCGGGTTCGTGCCCGCGGCCCAGCTCACGTCGCAGGTGCTGCCGCTCATCAAGGGCTCGCCCAAGTACGGCGGCGTCATGCTCTGGTCCAAGTTCTACGACGACCGCACGGGATACAGCTCCGCCATCAAGAGCCACGTCTGAATGTCTGATAGACCGATAGGAAATTGCAAGCGTGCGTGTACTGTATGCTTCTGTGAGTGCGTGTGGACGGTGCATGCAGAGTTGTGGTAGATAGTTTATATTTCAGCATGTCGTGTTCGATCTTGTCTCGATGTGAACCGTAGCTGGGAGACTGTTATAGTGTTACGTAGTAGAGCAAAACATCAGCTCTGCAATTTTCAGTCACCATTATCAACAAATAAAGCAAAGACCTTTCGTCACTTTTGTGATCTATAGTTTGTGACAATACAGCGCACCCTATCCAGCTAACCTCAAACTAACAACTTATATTCCTTGGCTTGTTTTATTTAGGGTTTTCATCAAAATCCTAGTATTCTAATTGAATATTTCCTTGGAAAGATTCATTTCATATTTTGTGAGCGAATAATAAGTCAACATAAGTATGAGCTTGCTAAAAAATATACTATGTCGGTCGCAAAATAAGTTTAATTATAGGATTTCTTAAACGGATTCATAGTCTTATGAAATGAATTTGGTGCCCCTAATTAAAACCGTTAATGAATATTGCAAAGGAAAAGGATCGTCCAATTGAATACATCAGTGTGTGAGTTATACGCATAGTAACAGCCCAATACTAATGAATATAATCAAGATTTCAAGAGTTGTGTTAGAGAAGATTTTCTTATACTAGACCATAGAGATGACCACATCCAACACAATATAACCGATAAAAAAATAATCATACTTTGCTCTTAAATGTGCAAGACAATAAAACACTAGCATGTTGCATATATTAACATTGGGATACGTTATAGTGCATGAGACCTCATGCAGGTAAACAATCACAACCATAGCTCTGACGGTGCCTTAGATTTGCTAGTTAATCGAGGGCAACCTTATGTTCAGGGTCACGTGCTCTGACGGGGTCTCTTTTTTTAAGGAAACAAGAGAGGTTGGGACTATTAAGAATTTAAGCATTTTCATGTTTAATTTAATCCAGAAAAATAACAGTAAATTCGTGACAATAAATATGTGCACGTGTGAACTACTAGTGGCAACTATGATGAACATACTGATCATGTTTAAGAGCATAAAAACCGTACTGAACATAGAGACAGTAAGATTAGAAGTATACCCAGCGAAGGGCCCCATGCTCAAGACACCAGTGGCTTCATTCACATGAGTCAACATCGTGTGTTGCGGACCACTGTCGATGCAGGACGATGTTCGCAGTGCAGTCCCTTGAACGTCCACCGGGAAGTAGACGATGCGAGGAAGAAGAAGACTTCGGTAGTCACCAGGAAGCTAGAAGCGAGCAATCGCGGAGACACTCCCCAAAAACCTGATCGCCCCGTGTCGCTATGCGGATGGCGGTTCTGGAGGCCTGCTCTCCCAACACTCCGTGCGCGCGGAGAATTGGGACGGGAAAACTCGGGAGCAACTCAACAGAAGAACGATGACGATGGATGTGTTATTTCTCGTCCGCGCAGCCAGCGGCAAGCGCTCCTCCTTTTATAAGCACATAAGGTAGAAGATGAAGTAGAGAGGATGAACCTGGACGTCATGAAGCGTCTATCAATTACTAGTAACCTCTGCCATAAACATGGGGTTACTAGTAACTATAACCATAACTATGAGAGTTAATAGTAACCGTAGCCAAAATTATGACCGTTACATGTTCAGCCATCAACTATATTCAGCTCACCATTTTATTGCACCTAGCATCTAATATGGCCTTAAAATTTATTTGATTTAATTATTAAATAAAATATGGGTCAATCCCACATTAAATCTAACCGGGACCCCTACTGGATAGGATCTTTTTTGGGAGAGTCTTCTTGGGAGAGTCTTTCTACGATCTTTGCTAGTTTACATGAAAACTAGACCCTGTTCGTTTCGCTTATGCTGATGCTTATACTGATTTGTTATGAGAGTAAAGCATTGTTTGTCCGCTGAAAAATACTGCCGATGTAGTTCTGTGTCATGTAATCATGATATTTACCATTTGTTAGTTTCCTTATAAACCTAGCTGTTCATCATCTCCAAGCGTGAGTTATCTATCCTTCTCGGACAAGCCATTACAACAAGCCCAGGAAATACTGACTGCACAACACATCCATACACAGTGTTTGCAAGCTCTTTGTACACCTTGCTTCTTCACATCGCATCAGTGTGTGAGTTATACGCATAGTAACAGCCCAATACTAATGTATCAAGACCGCTGAAAGTTGCGCTTCTCATGTTAGAATTTCGAATTGCGGTGGAGCCTCCTCTGCTAGTCTGCTTGGCATCAGCACGTGAACCGCCGTCTCTTGTTTTATGTCGCCGTCGCCGGTGTGGCTGCGCCTAACATCAATAGAACTGTATTTTTCATCAAGTTGGAAGTTGGAACTTCAAATCAAAGTACTGCTAAATCTGAAAGAAGGCTAGGAGCAGGCCCAGTTGCTTCGGACGGCTGTCTATTCTTTTGTCCAGCTGTCCAGGGGCACTACAATCTTGAACCAGTCTCCTTGCGTACGTGCTGGCCCGGTTAATCCTTTGGATCTGCGACAGATTTGGGTGGTTTTTTGGCTTTTCAACCGAGTAGGACGAAGATACGTGACTGTCATGACGTCGCTCTGCTCATCAAACAGTTCCCATGGGCTCGTCCCCTTTGCTGTCTGATTCGGCGCAGGACGGCAGGAAGATGATTATTCTCGCTATCCGAACAACCAACCGAATCACCTCCGTCACCGGCAGAAAAGCATCGGATCTCCGTCGTGTGCTCGGAAAGTTGCAGACCTTGTGGTCCTGGCTGCCCGTGCAAATGGACAACGATTCAGCGAACAGCTGAGTCACCTCTGACTCTGATTCTGAGAGTAGCACCGAGGCCGACTTGGTTGCGATTAGCAGCGCGTGCGGTTAATGCGCATGATCGCGTCAACGGAAGAAACGCACTGTCCAAGTGTCCAGCACGTTGCCCTCGCGCACTGAGCGTCTGTGAATTCTGCTAAGAGGCAAGCGTGCAAATTTCTAAGAGTCGGGGAGAAATGGTCGTCGCACTTGGACGCACGATCAGTGGAGGCCGCTGTTCCCCTCGTAACGACGACCCTCGCGCACAGGTATAATATCTATCGTCGCCCCGTGCCAAGATGCAAGACAGCATATTTGACAATGCCCAGCTCTAGATGATAAATCCCAAATCTCGACCACAAATTGCGCCATCTCGCCCAATCAACTTGTGGCGTCTACCACACCTAACAAATACTGAATGTGAAGGATTTCGTCGTTAGAACAGAACTGCGCCGCTGCTAGTTGCGCACCACATTGCTCAACGGATTCATCATCAGCTATATAAAGACCAGGGATCGACTTTCAAGCACAATTCATACTCACAGTCCATATACCAAGAACTGAAGAACCCGAGAAAAAACAAGATGGCTAGAAGCAACCCCTCTCTGCCAATGCTACTGGCCATGGCGTTTGCATTGGCCGGGGTAGCCGCGGGAGCGCGCGCCGGCGGCATCGCCATCTACTGGGGCCAGAACGGCAACGAGGGGACGCTGGCGCAGACCTGCGCCACGGGCAACTACAAGTTCGTCAACGTGGCGTTCCTCCCCACGTTCGGCAAGGACCAGACGCCGGTGCTGAACCTGGCGGGACACTGCGACCCCGCGAGCAACGGGTGCACGGGCGTGGGCGCCGACATCAAGGCGTGCCAGCGCATGGGCATCAAGGTCCTGCTCTCCATCGGCGGCGGCGGCGGCAGCTACGGGCTCTCGTCGCCGGACGATGCGAGGAGCGTCGCGGCGTACCTCTGGAACAACTATCTCGGCGGCAGGTCGTCCAAGGCCAGGCCTCTCGGCGACGCGGTCCTCGACGGCATCGACTTCGACATCGAGAGCGGCGGGAGCCTGTACTGGGACGACCTGGCGAAAGCCCTCAAGTCCTACTCCCGGCGGGTGTACCTGTCGGCGGCGCCGCAGTGCCCGTTCCCGGACGCGTCGCTGGGCACGGCGCTCGGCACGGGGCTGTTCGACTACGTGTGGGTGCAGTTCTACAACAACCCGCCGTGCCAGTACAGCGCGAGCGCCGGCGTGGGCAGCCTGGCGAGCGCGTGGGCGCAGTGGACGTCCATCAGGGCCGGGCGGGTGTTCCTCGGCCTCCCGGCCGCGCCCCAGGCCGCGGGCAGCGGGTTCGTGCCGGCGAGTGACCTTGTGTCGCAGGTGCTGCCGGTGGTGAAGAACTCCACCAAGTACGGGGGCATCATGCTCTGGTCCAGGTACTACGACGGGCTCACGGGGTACAGCGACGCGGTCAAGTCCCAAGTGTGAGCTACGCAGCCTCATGTCATGTCGGGCGTGTCTGTGGGGGTGGGGTGCACATGCGTCCATGTGCCATAGTGTGCGTGCGGGGCGTTGTACTGACGTCGCTTAAAGAAGCGACGGGGAAAAAAGCAAGTTGCAAATAGTGCTTCTTACTTGTTATTAAACCATTTTTCACTTACTCTTTTCGGGTGAACACCCTTTTCATGTTTCAAGCAAAATAAAAAATAGAATATATTCAGAGAAGAGATCGACCACACATGGCTCCTGCGCGTCACATACGCGACATGCAATGCAACATTTCAGGTGCGTGCGTCGTGTAAGATCGAACGCTCTGCAGAGAAACTTTGACACAGCTTGATGGGCGTGCAACGAGCATGCGTCCAGTCCAGAATTCTCTGCATTATTGTGTTTTGGCTGTATCTCCAGAACCAAGGTCCAAGGGACCAATATTTCTGGTGCGTGCGTCGTGTAAGATCGAACGCTGTGCAGAGAACGTGGACACAGGCACACAGCTTGATGGGTGTGCAAGGAGCATGTGTCCAGTCCAGAACTCTCTCTATTGTGTTTTGGCTGTATCTCCGGAACCAGCCCGCTGATCATATGATACGAGTATGTGACTACGTGAACGAACCGAAATTTGAAACACCGCAAAGAGGGGGAAACTTGATACGGTACGTCAGTTGCTCTCGGCCTCTACTCACACTTAGGAAGGAAGGCATGATCTGCTCTGTTGTGCTTACATGGCCAATCGTATTTGGTTAGCACCAAGTCCGCGACTCGCGTATGCCTCGCCGGCTGTTCCCAGCTGCTACGTACAGCCACAGCTTGTGTCCTCCCTGACCGTTCGAGGAGAAGCGCGCGCGCCAACGAAACTCAAGCCGAGTATGCAACCAGGGAAGCCAATACATCCAAAGTTTGCACTGCACGTCTGCACCTGAGCACCTCCGCGACACCTGTAGAACATATACCTCGGTCCCCAAGAGAATGCAATTCTAGCACAGTATCATGTTTTATTACCTTAAGTTTAACTAATTATAGATTAAAAAAATATACATATTTATCATATCAAATAAATACCATCAAATTAATTACGAAATATATTTTTATAATAAATTAATTTAAAATATAACTGTGAATATTATTTATTAAAAATTTAGTCAAACGGTAACCACTTTTCGTGACGTAGTTGCATTCTTTTTAGAATGGAGGAGGTAGTATTTTGACGCGAGCTTTCTACTCCACTCCAGCACCTTCTCCCATCACCGATGGCAGTTTCCCAAGGCCATGGCCCAAGCGTAGGCCAGGATGCTTCTCTGGTCCAGGCCGTCCAGGCGCGCCGCTCAACACCCAGCGTCCGCTTTTAAAATACCGCGCGTGCAGCAGTGCAGAACTCGTGTAGTACTCATCTGGTCGCGTTGGCACTCTTGCGCTAGTTCGTCTGTTCATCAGTACCACCTCGAGGAGCCAAAAACAGGTACGTGTTGATCGATCCTCCACACCCTTCTTCCGATCCCTTCTCGTTTCTGACCATGGACCTGTCGATTTCTTTTCGGTGAAATTCTGATCCTGTTGTTTGCAGCTAACAATATCTGGTACGTATGGCGACGGCTGCTGCTGCTGCAACGATGTACTCCGTTCCCGCCGCGAGCGCCATGCGGTGCCGGACTTTCTCCCCGTCGATCAGACCGACGCTCGGCGGGTCGCTTCCCCCGCGCCGCGACCGCCGAGCCTCGCCCTCGCGTGGGGCGCGACCCGGAGCCGGTTCAGGGCGTCCGCGGCCGTGCACAAGGTGAAGCTGGTCGGGCCCGACGGTTCGGAGAGCGAGCTGGAGGTGCCCGAGGACACCTACATCCTCGACGCCGCGGAGGAGGCCGGGCTGGAGATGCCCTTCTCGGGTCGTGCTCCGCGTGCGCGGGGAAGCTGGCGTCCGGCGAGGTGGACCAGTCGGAGGGCTCGTTCCTGGACGACGCGCAGATGGCCGACGGGTACGTGCTCACCTGCGTCTCCTACCCCAGGACGGACTGCGTCATCTACACCCACAAGGAGGAGGAAGTACACTAGATTGGTGCTGCTGCGATAGATATACATTCGAATCCGAGTAACTTAGCATTTGTAGACAGTGGCTATTCCAGCCGTGGATGTTCAGAGAGATTATGAAGTTCTACAGTTCTGTCTATGATCTGTGCGTTTCTTGAACGTTTTGCTTTTTTTAACCCTCTCTACGTTGTCTGTCGTATGTGATTAGTAGTTCAGAGATGGATGCCACAAAGCAAAGTTCAGAATTCCTTGTGTGTTTGTCTGTTTGATACTACTGATCAATGGAGGTTGCTTCCTTAAATTGATTATCAGACTTTATGGGCCTTATAAGTTGAAAATCGATGAGAGTGCAGACAAGGTCCAGTCCAACATACTTGGGCCATTACTACACTGCAGATTCTTTGCTGTCACTTTGCTATAACTGCGTTTTGCCCATAAAACTGCTCCGTTGTGTCATAGTATCTCCAAAAAGAAAAAGGAGAGAAAAATATAGAAAAATGAGAGAAAGACTTGTGTGATTTACTATGTTGCTTGTGGGATTTATTTTGAGACCACGTACTACCTCAGTCCATAAAAGAACGTAATTTTCAGAAATCAAATGTTTCTAAATTTGATCAAATTTATATAAAAAACTACTAATGTTTATGATACAAAATAATTGTAAACGGAGGGAGTAGAATCTACGCAGCAGTAGCAGCCAGGGGCGGAGCTAGGTATAGAGCAGCTGCCGTACCTACAATAAAATCTGTAGAAAAGACCAAGTATATGTTGTATGTGCCAATACGAGCCATTACCTTTTAGATTTCTATTACACGGCCGCGCAGGGCCAGTATTTGACCTCGAGTGGCTCTTTGTCGTCCTTGGTGTATCTGGCCGCTGTCTTGCTGAAGCCCTCGTAGAGTCTCAGTAGGTTTATATAGTTTAGCAATGCAATTAAATACAAACAGTTCTGGACAAATGTTCCATCAATGAAAAAAAAACTATTGTATTTTCTTGTGTTTTACATTTTAGAATGGGAGCTTGTGTTGTGAACTTCGTGCCAAATGGAAGGTTGTGGCTGTCTATTTTTTTCATCATATTGCTTAATTAGAAGTACTACTTTAAAAGTCTTCGTTTGAACCATAGCATTCTGAAAAAGTGCTTGGCATGTGTTTCAACCTGCAAACAGGAAGCAGATAAGTAACTAAAATTGTGTACTTCAAATCTCAAATTAATTTGCAGGATGCGGGAAAATAGCTGCTCTAGGTTATAATTGACGGAAATGTTGCTTAAGAAACATTCAAGTTGAAGTTGATAAATAAGATTAGGCCTTTTCAGGACAATTAGTATAATTAGCTTATTGTTTAAACGGTCATCTATCATGTTACATGATGCTGTAAACTAATGGCTTCTATGTGGTCATTTGATCAGATTGTTTCCTAAAAAAAAGATATAAATAGAAGTGTTATCATAATTCAGCCTTCCAGAAAACATGATTGCTTGAGACCCTATAGAAAGCAAAATTTGTATCTAGGGCACACTGATAAATAAGATACTTTTCTTGAATTGATGAATCACTTGAGTTCTCAGTTTATAAGCTTGAAAATAAGGACATAAAGGAAATTGCGCTTCAAGCTATTTTTTCTTTCTCATGTTTTTCTGATTTAGGAAAAGACCTAACTACAGGAAGTTGGGCACAGACCAAACTGATATTGATCACAATAAGGTGGATTTACCAAAATGTTTTGATTATACACTATATGCATATGTTTTGGAAGTTTTTGACACAACATGCTTTATATAGGACTTGCAATGAATATTGCAAACAACTCCTGCGTAAGCATTAGCAAAACCAAATTCTTTTTGGGCGATAGGTTGAACACACGGTAAACATTCCTAGTATGCATGAGTGATGACACTTAACACACCAGAATGACGGATCATGGCGTGTGCACTTCAAATGAGACTACTCCAGCTGCCTCTAGTATTGATTAGTGCTACAATCCATCCTCTGCATGGTTATGGGTGTATTGTTTCAAAGATCAGTAAGACAAAATCTTATTTTATAATATTGATCAGACCATTAACAGTAGGAACCACAAAATGTAGACACATTTTAGTCTGCAAAGGCCAAAGGGATGAATACAGACCTCTGATGCCTCTATCGTTAAGTATCAAAATACACAGGACAGCTGAGAAGGCAGATGAAAATGCTGCATATTGCGATGGCGCACATCCTTCTTTACTGTATCCCAAATTACCATAATTTTTTAATTTTGATTTGCACCAAGCTAATAAGTTTGCAAAAATGAGCGAGCTGCCAATTTTTGAACATTGCACAGTATGATAGAAGATAAACATCTAAATTCACATATTGATAACAAACGGAGACGGAAACATGGCAATGACTGAACCTGCATGGCTATATGCAACAAGGATATTAAGAACAACTCATGCTTATGCCCAATCGAGTACCTAAGGCTTTCTTAGTATCAGTAAACATAAATAGTCGCGATGCAAGCAAAACCTTCTGCAGGAAGGCAAGAATAGAAATCATATGTCCTGAACTATCGATAAAGGATTCATTCTTTGTTAAAAAAAATTAAAACTTTAACCCTGGATTATCACACTACGTCAAAAAGGGTTTTTAGGGGCGGTTGTAGACTATTTGTAGGGGCGGTTTGCCCAGCCGCCCCTACGCAAGAGTCTCTACAAATCATGTATTTGTACGGACGGTTCCCAGACCGCCCCTACAAATCGATTTGTAAAGGCTATTTGGTGTTATCGGCCGCCTAGAAATCGATTTGTAAAGGAGAATAATCTGTAGCCGCCTACAAATCGATTTATAAGTGATGCTGGGAACACGGCCGCGCCCTACAAATCGATTTGTAGGCGGCAGATACTAACCGCCCCTACAAATCATTTTTCCACAAAAAAAATAAATTTACAATTCAAATTCGATCAGAACATATATTTTTCATACACAACTC